GGACAATCCACACCACGTCAACTGCTGGTGTGGGGTGGGGGCGGTTGTTGTTGTTTGTCCATACTTCACGCTGGTCTCGGCACGGGCGGGTCCGTCGTCAGCCAGGGCCGAGCCCAGGGGGTGGGGGAGGTTGAGGCTCTCGGCTCGCCACCGACCGGGAATCGAAACGCGGGTCGCTGGGTTCGCAACAGGCACAGCGCGTGATCCACTCCCCACCGCCTCCTCCTCCGCCTCCACTCCAGAAACACAAATTGCTCTCCCCCCTCGCCGCGTCAGCACGAGCATCTTCGGGTCGAGACGCCCTCTGCATTGGGTTCGATGACCCCCGCCCCCATCGCTACCTCCCCCACCCACCCAATCGCCCCACCCCCCTCAAAGCAAATTGCACTCGGCAAATGGTGTTTGTGATGGTTATGCCGATGCTGGCGACGGGGGACAATGCCGACAATTTTAACCGTTGCTGCTGCCCGCCCTGACGCCGCCGCCCGCTCTAACGCCACCGCCCACTCTAACACCACCGCCCGCTCTAACGCCACCGCCCGCTCTAACACCACCGCCCACTCTAACGCCACCGCCCACTCTAACGCCACCGCCCGCTCTAACGCCACCGCCCGCTCTAACACCACCGCCCACTCTAACACCACCGCCCGCTCTAACGCCACCGCCCACTCTAACGCCACCGCCCGCTCTAACGCCACCGCCCACTCTAACGCCACCGCCCACTCTAACGCCACCGCCCGCTCTAACACCACCGCCCACTCTAACACCACCGCCCACTCTAACGCCACCGCCCGCTCTAACACCACCGCCCACTCTAACGCCACCGCCCGCTCTAACGCCACCGCCCACTCGAACGCCACCGCCCACTCTAACGCCACCGCCCGCTCTAACACCACCGCCCACTCTAACACCACCGCCCGCTCTAACGCCACCGCCCGCTCTAACACCACCGCCCGCTCTAACACCACCGCCCACTCTAACGCCACCGCCCACTCTAACGCCACCGCCCACTCTAACGCCACCGCCCGCTCTAACGGCACCGCCCGCTCTAACACCACCGCCCGCTCTAACGCCTCCACCCGCTCTAACACCACCGCCCGCTCTAACGCCACCGCCCGCTCTAACGCCACCGCCCGCTCTAACGCCTCCACCCGCTCTAACACCACCGCCCGCTCTAACACCACCGCCCACTCTAACGCCACCGCCCGCTCTAACGCCTCCACCCGCTCTAACACCACCGCCCGCTCTAACACCTCCACCCACTCTAACACCACCGCCCGCTCTAACACCACCGCCCGCTCTAACGCCTCCGCCAGCTTTAATGTCCCCCTCTCATGTGTTTCGATTTGACCACAAGACACCGATGGTATTTTGGACAGAAAATCAAGAGAATTGAAATCCCATGTGTTTCTCCCTTCGGCAAGATGATCGTCATATTAATAATGTGCTAGGCATAGTGCCGAATCTGAAGCCATTGGTTGCGTAGATTTACTATATGCAGCAGAATAACCTCTTATCTGTGACGACGTTGGATGGTGGGGCGAGCGCGTCCCTTACAGTGGCAGTGTGTGGGAGCCATGCTTCATCCACTGCTTGATGCCCCCCCCCCCCCCCCTCAGAGGAACGCAGATATCCGAAACAGACGTTGCTACCCGAGTGACAGAAGCCTCGGGTGCACAGTGGTAAGTGCGGTGATGGTCGTGGTGGTGATGTATGTTGTCATGTTTGTGTGTGATGGTGGTGGTGTGGTGATCGTTATAATGGTGGTAATTGTTCTGGTGATTGTGATCCATGCTGGCAGTAGTGATGGTGGCAGACGTGATTGCGGTGATTATGGTAGTGATGGTGCTGTCGGTAGTGATGGTGGTGATGGCGACAGTGATGGCGTGAGTACTGATGGTATTCATTCTGACAGGTGTGATGATGGCGGTAGTGATTGCGGTCATTATGGTAGTGATGGTGATGGCGGCAGTGATGGTGATTGTGATGATGCTAGTACTCATGCGAGTAGTGCTGACAGTAGTGATGATGGTGATAGTGGTGGAGGTGATTATGGTGGTGGTAATGGTGATAATTGTGTTGGTATTGGTGATGATGATGATGATGGCGGTAATGATGGGGGCGGTAGCGGTCATGCTGGCGATGGCGGCTGCTGCTGCCTCCACCACCGCCGCTGCTCCCGTTTTGGGAATGGCAGTCGGCTGCAGTCGGACAGTCGGGGGGGGGGGGGGGGTTGGTTAAAAATAGCCGACCAGCAGCGAGAGTCGAGGGCACGCGGCACGCACGCGCGAGCGCGCTGCTGCAGGCCGTGGCAAGTGGGAGGAAATCTGCGGAAGCGCAGATAACTTTGTTTTAACCGCATCAGCGCAGAGCGGCCCACGCGCCGTGCCGGTAACGGTCGGACCCGAGCCGTCGCTCCCTTGACCTTCCACGCCGTGTGTCCGGATGAGATCACGTGCCCCCCCCCCCCCCGCCGCGTCCCGGTTCAAATTTTGAGATGCCCGCCCGTCACTCTCTCTTCCTTCTTTCCTCCACTGTTTTCTCTCTAACCGTTCCCTCTCTCTCCCCCTCACTGTTCCCTCTCTCTCTCCGTTCTGTCTCTCCTCTGCTTCTCTTTCCTGCCTCGGGTGATCACCACGCTCTTCCTTTCCACCGATCCGCTCGTCCGTTTCCCGTTCGCAAGATTGCGACCCTTCCGGAACTGGACGCCCTTGGGGAAAAAAGAGCGTTATAGCTCATCAAATTGATCCGGTATGAATGGAGATTCTGATTCCATATACACACACACACTCTTGGTTTGTTGAAAATCATCGTGAAAATAAAAAAAAATCCAAAGAGTAACCGACATGCCGATGCATCGCCCCAAAAAAAAAGACTGGTTGCTTAACTGCCAGACAAAGGCGTCCGATATGAGATTTGGCCTCACGGTATGAAGGATGGGCGATCGCAGTGGGCTGGAGGGGGCCACGGGGGAGGGTGGTGGAGGGTGGGGGGGGGATACCCTCACGGTCCTCACTCGCGTGAGGTGGCGACCGGTGGCTTGAGGCCGTAGCCAATGAAGGTTTAGCCGGAATCGATGGCGCACCCCTCCAGTAGGAGATATACGGGGTCTTTAATAGGAGATAGACGCGGCTTTAGTAGGAGATAGACGGGGGCTTTAATAGGAGATAGATGGGGCTTTAATAGGAGCTAGACGGCACTTTAATAGGAGATAGACGGGGGCTTTAATAGGAGATAGATGGGGCTTTAATAGGAGCTAGACGGGACTTTAATAGGAGATAGACGGGGGCTTTAATAGGCGATAGACTGGGGCTTTAATAGGAGACAGACGGGGCTTTAATAGGAGATGGATGGGGGTTTTAATAGGAGACAAACGGGGTTTTAATAGGAGATAGACGGGACTTTAATAGGATATAGACGGGACTTTAATAGGAGACAAACGGGGTTTTAATAGGAGATAGACGGGACTTTAATAGGATATAGACGGGACTTTAATAGGAGACAGACGGGGATTTAATAGGAGATAGACGGGACTTTAATAGGAGACAAACGGGGTTTTAATAGGAGATAGACGGGACTTTAATAGGATATAGACGGGACTTTAATAGGAGACAAACGGGGTTTTAATAGGAGATAGACGGGACTTTAATAGGAGATAGACGGGGCTTTAATAAGAGACAGACGGGGCTTTAATAGGAGACAGACGGGGCTTTAATAGGAGATAGACGGGGCTTTAATAGGAGATAGACGGGGCTTTAATAGGAGATAGACGGGGCTTTAATAGGAGACAGACGGGGCTTTAATAGAAGATAGACGGGACTTTAATAGGAGACAGACGGGACTTTAATAGGAGATAGACGGGACTTTAATAGGAGATAGACGGGGCTTTAATAGGAGATAGACGGGACTTTAATAGGAGATAGACGGGACTTTAATAGGAGATAGACGGGGGCTTTAATAGAAGACAGACGGGGCTTTAATAGGAGATAGACGGGCTTTAATAGGAGACAGACGGGGCTTTAATAGGAGATAGACGGGGCTTTAATAGGAGACAGACGGGGCTTTAATAGGAGATAGACGGGACTTTAATAGGAGACAGACGGGACTTTAATAGGAGACAGACAGGACTTTAATAGGAGACAGACGGGACTTTAATAGGAGACAGACGGGACTTTAATAGGAGATAGACGGGACTTTAATAGGAGATAGACGGGCTTTAATAGGAGATAGACGGGACTTTAATAGGAGATAGACGGGACTTTAATAGGAGATAGACGGGGGCTTTAATAGAAGACAGACGGGGCTTTAATAGGAGATAGACGGGGCTTTAATAGGAGACAGACGGGGCTTTAATAGAAGATAGACGGGGCCTTAATGCCGTCGCGAGGGAGGGGAGTCGGAGAGAGGGGCACGTGCGATACTTTATGGCAACGTTCGCCCGCGACGGTTGCCTTAATATGCTTGTGGCAATCTGTTTTATGGCGGAGCGCATGCCAGGGCCGATTGCCAGTTCCATTGTTGAGAGAAAAAAACTGAATTCGTCCTGTTTCTGTTCGTCCTCTTTTCACATTTTTATCTTTCCTCTACTTCCGCTGCCGCTGTGGGTTGACGTCGCTTCATCGGAAACCCCTAAAGTCCGGCCGTGGCTCTTGCGTAAATATCCTCGCACGCACACCCCCCCCAACCCCCCCCCGATATCGTCGTCGCCTCCCGTCCGACCGTCCGCTTTGGCGGTATCCGTGACGCGTCCGTCGGCCCGTCGGTCCGGTGCTCCGTGCCTTGTCGGGGACTGGGGGCCGGGTCGTCCGATTCGTACCGAAGAGAAGAGAGCCCAAGTGGCAAGCGGGATGCGGTGCGAGTGCGCTCGCTCGCTCGCTCGCTCGCTCGCACCGCTCGAGTGAATTTGTACACACGCGGCCGAGAGAGAGAAAGAGAGAGAGAGAGCGAGGGCGAGAGAGAAAAGCTGGCAGCACCAGTGCCAGGATTGTTAAATCACATGATCCTTCCCAGCAGGCATTGCTGCAGCAAGACCAATTTTGTTTTGGTTCTTCTCTCTCCAATGTCCTGTTTTGTTTGTTTCCCCCCTCTCTCCCATTCCTCTCCTCCTCCCCTCGTCGCGAGGAAGTTCAGACGACCCGAATGCCGCCGCTCAAGTGACGCGCTCTGAAAAAACGGAGGAAGGGGAGGAAGGAAAAAAATCCTCAATCGACAGCAGCAGCCCGGCGTGCCCTTGCCCGGGCTTGCGGCGGTATGGAGAGAGAGAGAGAGGGCTGGCGGGCGAGTGGGCGGGCGAGCGGGCGGGCGGGCGACACACGTCTCGGGTAAGAGAAGCCGCGCGGCGCTCCGAGACTAAACCTGCGTCGGGCGGCAGCGTCGCCGCACGCGAAGAATGTAGGTCAGGGGGAAGGAGGCGCGAGGGTGTTAAAAAAAAAACCCGGCAGAAGCGGCGGCGGCTGCGGCTGCTGCGGCATCGCAGATCGCGCGGGGCGAGGATGTCTCGGCGGTGACGGCGGTGGCATCGGCAGAGAGTGGCGACTTGGTATTTGCGAGCGGTGAGCGAGATATCAGGAGCGCAGGCAGCGGGCGATTCGCGCGCTGGAATTCGCCCACTCCCCCCTTGGCGGTTTGGCGTTCTCTTTGACGTTGTTGTTCGTTCGGGTTTGTGCGTGCGCGTGTTTTTGTTGTTGTCGCCATCGTCGTCATCGTCATCATCGTCGTCTCCTCTTCTCTCTCCTCCAATTTGAGTTGCGCGGGAATGATGCGAGCCGTGCCCCGCAAGGACCCTGCGGCGATGTCGCTCGCTCCGAGCCACTCCGCACGGACCCCGTCGCTAGAAGCGCCGCCGCCGCCGCCGTCGTCGTCGTGCCCACCGTCACGCTGAGCCGGCCAGGAGAATAATAATAATAATAAAAACTGACGGCTTCGGAATCTGCCCGCCACGAAGCCGGTTGCGCCGTCGCAACGCGTGCTGTTGGGAAGATGCAGGTTCGGCGCGGGCCGTCGGTCGGTTGGGTTGTTTCTCTTTTGGGATTTTTTTAATTTCCGTGCCCTCGTTGCGCGTCGGCTAGAGAATCCCCCCGCCCCCCACATAACGCCGCGGTGATTACCGCGCTGGCCATTTATTAAACGCGTACGTACGCGCGCACGTGTACGCGTATGTACGTGCGTATGTACGTGCGTACGTGCGCACGTGTGTGCGTATCTACGTGCACGTACGCGTCGTTGCGTCCAGGTGCAATCGCACGACGTGCACAGTGCTGCTTCCAATGCCGGCGGTCGTCCGTTCAACTCAAGGGTGTAAAATAAATAATTTGAGCTGGCTCAGCGACGACGGTGCCAGCCAGTGATGGCGTGGGCGGCTTGCAGCGCTGCTGGCGTTTTCGGGCGCTGTCAGTGCCTACCCTAGGAGGGGAATTTAAATATTCATGAGACATTTGCCTCTCGCCGGGGTGGTAGTGGTGGTGGTATGCAATCGAGGGGTACCGCACCGGCTCTTCCTCACCGCCCCCCCCCCTTCACCACCACTGCATCCTCCTCTCTCTCTCTCAGCCGTCAAGAAAGAAAAACATTGTTTACTTATTTGTGTGTTTCTATTCCCGTGCGTCGGCAGAAACGACGCCGCTCGTTAATGACATTTTAATTACGTCGCGATTTACTGCGCGTTAAGCTGATGTGCGGCGGGCAAAAAAAAAACTTGGGGGGGAGTCATTAATGTCCCTTTGTGAAGTCGTGCACGGGAGCGGCATTAGCATATTAATGTACGCAACAGTCGGGCGCGTTTAGGCGCGACCGCCAAATGCGCCGTTAAACATCAGATGGTCGTTTAAGCTCGCCGCTCTGACGACTGCAGGACAACCGTTGAACACGTCATGGGTAACGGGCGACGAGCGACGTGGACGGCGTCGAGCGAGCGAGCTGCCGTAGGCCGTGGGGCGAGTCCTTGGGATTCGTTGAGGCTGCCCTCGATGAATATTTGTCAAATATCGCCAGGGCTTAATTTTGTCCGGATCGCTGGTGGACTGGAGTGGGTGCAGCACGGGGCACAGGTTGCTGAGGAAATGGAGTCTGCCTCGGTAGGCTGCGATCACAAATCACTCCGTAATTCCGTCAAAAAGTATCTTGCAACACCACGTCTATTACCACCCTGAAGAGGAAGAATGGTCATCTGATCTCTGACCCCCCCCATGTGATTTCAGGCTGGGGTGGTCCTGCACAGATATCATATTCTCTGCCATTCTGCTGAAGCGGAGGTGTAGAGAATTCCAATGGGACCTGCCCTACATCACTGCTTTATTGACCTGGTCAAGGCCTTTGATATCATCAGCAGGCCAGAGCTCTGGGTTATTGCCACTTAGAGATGGGGACTTACCCATCTGCTCCACCTAAAGTAAGCACCTGGTTGGGTATTTTATGTCCTCAAATGCTCCACCTCCTCAACTCCCCATGAATGACAGGGCAGTTGTGGAGAGAGTGGAAAAGTTTCCGTATCTGGGAATTGTGCTCAACTTCAATTTGACAGCAGGAGGTCTCGCTTTGAATTGGTCAAGCAGCATTATCTTTTCGTCAGCTGCGTAATGCTGTGTGGAAGCTACCTAGCCTGTCACTCCATAAGAAGCATTGGGTCTTCTCGTCCACAGTCATACCATCCCTCCATTCTTTATACTTTGCGAAATATGTTCCCCCTCTAATGGAACATCTGTGCCATTTGAAACATTCAGGCTGGCCTGCCTCCAGTCCATCCTGGGATAAACCAGGTTCTTGAAAGATCTGGATACGGTCCCATCAATGACCTCCTGGCAGGCGAGGATGCATTGGCTGGGTGATGCAGCCACCGCTTGCCCAGCCACCGCATGCCCAAGCAGCTTCGACTTTGCCGGATCGAGGGGGCTAAGCCGCCTTCGCGCTGCCCTATATACCCAGCGACCCGGGTTCCATTTCCGCTCACGGTCATCACCGGTGACGACTATTTGAACTGGTCCTGGGCCTCCCCTAGGTAGACTCAGCCTAAAATGAGTACCTGGTGTAATGTGTAAACATCGCCACTGGGGAGACAAAGCCGGCCTGGCTTGGTGTTGGCCACCAACCCCCTCCTGTGCTGTGCCGGCCTTAATAGATGATCATTATCGGCACTTTCTCCAACAGTCTGTTAAGTGTATATGGGGGATCTTTGTCTTTTTCTGCGTGTGTACATATATATAAAACGGCACACGGTGGGGGTGGTATCTCTGCCCGCGCGTGCAATCGCAGAAATACGCATTGACGGGTCCCCTCTCAATTAATCTGGCGTGACAAAATAATGCGATAAAAAATAACCGCTGCTGGTGCGGCGGATTCCACAGGGCGACGGGCGCGCGATGCGGAGTGGCAAGAGCAGGGCCCCCCCCTCCCCCGCTTTGCGAGCGCTCACGCCGCCCCGAGCTTGGGTTCCGACGTTAATTTAGTTGAGCAAAAGAGACTTGGAGACTTCGTGTTGATTTGGTTGAGCAACAGATTTGCAGGTGAATGGGATTACAGACGAAGTAGCGAGCAACAGACGCCCAGAGCTCGCCGGACGCCGTTTAGCCGCCGCCCACCTGCCCTCTGCCCCCCCCTCCCCGCGCATCTTAATTGACAAATTTTGCATATGCAATTAACACTTTATTTTGCGAGATAACTCTCTGTAACTCCGCAAAGTCTCCGTCGACTCGCTCGCCCGGATAAATCGAAGGAGCTTGGGGGGGGGGGGTGTGGGGGGAATGGCGGGGGGTTAAAGAGGGGAGCGGGGGTTGGTGTGTGTTCACGTGTTCTCGTCCGCGTCCAAGCCGGCGTTCCGCCGTAGCGGGCATCGGATGGGGGCGGTGCCAAGCAGTGCCAAGCGGTGCCAAGCAGTCCGCGGGTGAGCCTGGCGGTTGGCGCAACGTCGGCGCGACGTCGGCGCGACGTCGGCGGGAACGGAATATTCTGACGCCGCTGTCATCGTTATCGTCGTTATTGGCCATGTTCTCCCCCCCTCCTTCCACGCTCCCCACCCCACCACTACCGCCTCTGGGTTAACAGAGGCGGTGGTGGTGGGGGGTAGAGGGTTACCAAATTAGCTGCAACCTCCGTTCAACCTCTAGTCCCTCGCGCTGACCTTGAACCTCTGACCTTGAACTTCTGGTCTTGAACCTCCGGTCTTGAACTTCTAGTCCCATGCACTGACCTCGTCGCCAAGGCAGCGTCGCTTCTCTGCGTGGAGTTTGTGCGTCCTCTCCTCCTCTCGCTCTCTCGGTCCCCCTGTACTGCGTGGGTTTCCTCCTCCTCCTCCTCCTTTGCATAGCTAGAACAATAACCCCCCCCCCCCCTGTACCATCGTATTGACCACAACTTCACCCCCCCCCCAACCCGCCAAATTCTGGCGAAAATAATTGTGAGGGGGGATCGCACGCAGCATCGGAAGCAGCATCAGAAGCAGCAGCAGCATCAGCAGTAGCATCATCAGAAGCAGCATCAGAAGCAACAGCATCATCAGCAGCAGCATCAGAAGCAGCAGCATCATCAGCAGCAGCATCATCAGAAGCAGTATCAGAAGCATCAGCACCATCATCAGCAGCAGCATCAGAAGCATCAGCAGCAGCATCATCAGAAGCAGCAGCAGCATCAGCAGCATCATCAGCAGCAGCATCATCAGCAGCAGCATCAGAAGCATCATCAGCAGCAGCATCATCAGCAGCAGCATCGCTAAAAAAACTTGTCAAGACCCTCCTGAGAAAAAAGTCTTGAGGCTCGGTGAGGCCTTCCTGAGGTAATGGAGCAAAATAAAACAAAGAAGTGATGACCTCGTGGTTAAAAGCGGTGAGGCGGCTACGAGATGGAAGAACAGCAATGGATTCATGAATCTATCTGTGTGGTGCTTGGCGTGTTATCCCCTTCTATGGGGGGGGGGGGGGAGGGGGGGGCATTCTCCATCCATTTAATTGGCCAAACATCCCAAGGCAGGGGACCCTTTTAGACAACGAGTCTTGAGGGCCATTGAGATACTGCCGGACGAATGGGATAGACCTTTAATTCTCACAGGATATTTCCTTGCTCGCTGGCAAGGCTTGGGGGACAGTAGTCACGTGGCCCATCACAGCCATAGCTTAGGGACATCGCACCGCCCTGTTTATGTTATTATCTTATTATCACCTTCTCCTTGGCCCCTTCTTAATTGTCCCTTCTTAATTGTCTGCCTATTGGATGCGGCGTGGGCGCATGCGCGTGGCCGGGGCGTGGAAATATTTTGCCCGTCGCCGGCCCGGACTGACCCTGGCGGCCGGATTGAAATCCGAACCGGTTCTGAATGCCTTGTCCGACCCGGGTG